AGTTATTGACGAAGATGCCATGGTGCTCTGGGACTGAAGATGCTCGACGGCATTCTGTACAATGGGCGCTCCTTCATCACTCAGAGACTTTCTCCCTTTGCCAGGAAAATCCAATACAGATCCAGTGGACTCAAATTTCGCAATCAAGCGTATGATGGTCGACACGATGAAAGGATCTTTGATGAGACCATGTTTGGTTTTGTAACCACGAAGTGCAGCGGTGGCGCTTCCACCAAGTGATTAATGGAGTTTCACAATTTCAATGCGCGTACTGCATCCATCGTAGACAAAATGTGGCAACACTTACATACAAAACCTCTTTATGTGGCTACTAATGACGAAGGATTTGGTTATCGTTTGTTTAATTGACTACGTTTACTTATACAATCAAATTTTGCGTCTTTATGAGACATCCTGAAGTTATGGTAACTCGACGACTAATCAGGTTCAAGCCTCACTGTATCCATTCGGTCAGCTCCCTTGTGATCTTTAATCCGCGTCACAACGCTGTGACGACTAAATTAACTCTGAGAGCGTTCACATTTCTTGTGCGGCTAGCAACTTTAACAAAGCAGCCAGAGTAAAAATATCCCATTGGACTCCCTCCTGGAGTATCCCTCGGCTGGGTACACCGTACAAATTCTGTCCAAGTCAGAGATGACCCGGACATAAGTACAACGCTATCGGGTAGGCTAAACACACGGGTTCCCTGTATACGCCCAGGGTCAACAGTGACATGAAAATCAAGTATCATTAAAACACTAGCTAAAGAAAGTAAACTAGTGGTGAATTATTCATCTTCAGTGAGGAGAAAGGCATTTGTTTCCAGCTGTTGTGGGCAAAAAAGATATGCCATTTCAACCGTTGCGTATCTTTCAAACACGTACGCGTGCGTGTTTTCATTCAATAAAACAAATGTGAGAATCATGTGGACAAAATGTTGACGTCGGCGCCCTGTGTATGGCATCTAGATATATTTATGTTCCCTAATTAAGCACCTTTCTACCAGGCTAAATTTGATTGTGCAGCGATCGATGGGCGCAAAGTCCGAATGTGTGTGCAATCGGGCGATGATGGGAACACAGCATACTTCGGAATGTAACCAAATGTAAAATCGGTCGAGTTAGCGAAACAATCACTTTTGTAAAGTTCTTTCGACCCTATAACCTATCGCAATGTAACGAGGGTTCGGGACAACTGTTCCATAGACAAAAAACATTTTACCGTTATTCCTCTGCAGTCGAAATGCTGGATTTTTGCTGGAAAAGTTTCTCGTCATAGGCGGATTGGTTCAACGCTATTAACAATATTTTTAACCTTGAAAAAGGTCCCTTGAGGAAACTTTTGGGTTACAGGACTCTGTATTTCGATGGACGTCATTTTATTTCTTTTTTTGGGGTTTCAAAACCGACAAACTTCGGTTTAATGGGCTTTTTACTTCATCAGAGTTTGAAGAAACCATTCTAGATTGGCATGAATTGATATCTAAAGCTTAGCTCTGCATTTTTTGTGCCATGTCCCGGAAGTTCATCTTCCTAGTCCAGTCTGACCGAAATTCACTTTTTCTTGGAGATATTGTCCTCATTACGCCACTTCACTTTCTATTCCGATGGCACGCATTTATCAGTACAGTAAAATATCGGCAACAGCCTTCGGTACCATCTTGGTCCGAAGTATACAGTTGACCCAGAAGCGAAGCATAGCTACCGACATTAAAGTAGGCTTCTGGCTACCAACAAGACTGGTTATAGTGAATCGCACGTGGGTTCCAGAAAGGAGTCAGTGTTACGCAGTCCACGCTAGTCGTGTACGAACGGTGGATCAGTTCTTTTTAACTGTGGTTAGTTGTGTAAGACATACGTGTTGGGGCCAGCCACCATCAACGAAAGATTCTCAGCTGATTCTCCTATCGAAATTCGTATACTAGTGAAAGAATTTATCGAAACTTCGTCGAAACTGAATGATGGAGTTGAAGGGGTGTTAGTTCATATTTTAATTCGTAACAAAGTGTTCAAAGATAGTCGCTATCGAGTAGACGGTGTGATTGTAGGTGGCTGCGGGATTTTAAATGAACTTAGGTTCGCGCTACCCTTGTTTAAACAGTTGTGTCCTGACGCCGTTATGCTCTCTAAACTTCGAGTCCAATGCCCCCTTTATGATGTGTACTGAATGCCTCAGAACAGAAGGATGAATGTTCAAACAAAAGTGAGGGGAGCTACAATCCCGCTTTTCATTCGCCATCTTCGACATCTGCAGTCATCTAGGCGAAGATGGTACAACTGGTCAGTCGGGGAGACAAACGTCATCTCATGGACAGTTAATTAACCGACAAAAATATATTCTGAAGCGCTTTGTCATGTGATCCGTCACGTGACTACTACAACACATCACTTTTGCGATACAGCAGTTGCACAACACTCTGTCACACTGTCAACTCGTCAAAGGTCTACAACAAATGTTGGAAAGCCTGAAGAGACCCGACTTTGAGAAAGATTCAAAGACACAGAAATGCCACGTGACCGGGATTCCAAATTAAGTGGACAGTTGACTTGGACGTTCTGGGGTGGAGTAAGAACAATTCGAAAAATGCACGAAAAGTCTACCAACTCATTTTCGTAAGTTGTGTACAAGAAGACAACTACTCGGTTGTGTACGGGAGCACGTACAGCTAAACCGAAGGGTGGGGGTGGTCTTCTGTTGTGTTCAATCCATTAGGTTTGATGAGAACAGTTTGCAAAGAGGACACGGAGTCTGGGCGAAAAGGCATGTCTGGCGACAGATAGCCTAAATCCTGGGTACTTCAGGCAGACACTTAAGGTGGTCGGCAATTTGAGTGATATATATGATATCCCCTTTCGTCTGGGCTACTTCTGGTTTTAACGTCTGCCGAATACCCTTCTACTTTCTAACAACAGTAGAATTATTTATTGATTAGGGTAGAATTGATTTGTAGTTTCGAAGTTTGGCGGGGCCATCCGTTATCAATCAATCAGCGACTTTTAGCGTTCACATGGCCTGGTTTCTTGGTCTCATAACAATTTAATTGTGAAACTTGATATGGGTTTAGCACCGTATTGTGATCCGACTATTCCAGCAGATCTTTGTTCAGCTTGACCACATGAGTGCGACTGAGAGCAAGTGTTTGCAGTAGCTCAGCTGGTTTGACATGCACCTGGGAATCGGGGCCCCAGTTGTTTGGATCAATCCAATTCATACTTTATGTGCTGTTATCAATACAACCGCAGTTCTCTCTTCCATACTGACAAGTTCTCTGCATTTGTGAGATGTGGGAATAAAAAAAACTGAAAATTCAGCAAACTGGGAGTAACTCAGAGCCAGTCGAGGAGCTAGTCAACACATGACCACGTGATGTGGATTCTGTGATTGGAGAGTGGATCACAGTGCTGGTCAGCTGCCTATAGGCGAAAAATTGTATTCAAATTACCAGTCAGGCGGTCGCGGGTTGGCAACCTCATACTAGAATTTCGTGAGTTCCGCACTGGTGACTAGTTCCAATAAGGATAGAACATTTGTACGGTGCTTCTCGACCTTTTTCTGTAGACTGGCCTCATTTATAGGGCGCAATTCCGATTGGAAACACACTTTGTTTTCACCTAGATTCGTTAAACCTCTGGTGCCTCCCAGAGATATTGGTGAGTTTTCGGTGTAACTTACACAGTAACCAGACACTGATGTAGTTTCTTTATAGGAATTGATGGGGAGATGGAACGAACGCCTGCGTTGCACCACTTGTTGCTGTCTCTGAGAGCGGCCTGTCTGGGGTGTAAGTGTGCAAAGTTGGTCGGCACCAACAGCTCTAGAGGGAGCAATGTGTGAACCAGTGGTTGTGCGACCGAGACCCCCTCCGAGTCGGTTCCGTTTCTCCCCATTCACGTTTGGACAGTTTGGGCAACGAATGTGGTGCATGGCATGTACGTTAAGCTGATCAGCCGTCCGTGGCCGGACGGTTTAATGTTCAACTGCGGGCAAGAAAGTAGTGCGCTTAAATCCCCCTGAAAACTAGTGAGATGCGTACTGTTGATTGTTTCCAATGAGAATGATGCAGTCATGAGATATTTGTCAGCACAGACTGACTTCAAGTACAGGAGAAAATCTTTATGATGCAGAAAGTATGCAATCAAAAGTGGTAATCTGCCATAGAATTATGCCAAGTATCTAACAGCCAATCCAGACACGACTACAGCTTACCCGACTTTTCTTACCAAATAGGTGGTTGGCATTTCATTTAGTCTAGTGGAGGATGCCAGATTCAGTTGCTCTTGGGTGCCCTCCATGGTTGTATGAAAGAGTTGATCCTCAGTGTACACTGATATACCGTTAAGGACGGATCAGTAGATGTGGCTAGTAATCACACTTTATAGTGGATACTGGCCCGAGTAGAACCCATCAAGAGTTCAAATGCCAATTAGTCTCCACTTTCAACCTGGTATTGTTTAGAATGCTGATAGCTGAGTTACTTGCGCGTCGGTCTCTATGAGATCCGGAACACACGGTCTCAAAAACTGATTCGCCTAAAAAGAAACATGTCAACAACCGAGTGAACAAACTGTACTATATCTTCGACCAAGAATACGTGTGTACTCCAGCCTACCAAAATGGTGCGTAGAAACCTGTTGGAGAAAGTGGAAGTTAAGAGATAATGACTTAAATTTAGGCGCGAGACGCCCAAAAGTTTAAATACAAGAATATCTTGCACATGTTTTAGGAACGCAACTGGTGTTTATTCGTGCACTTAAGCATGGACGGTGACAGTTTCTCATCTTGTTAACGATGATGCTTCACTAATATGGGGTAGTAGCACAAGATCGCAATGATAACCATAGTAATGTGGGAGTTTCGACCGAATTTTATAGAAATCGCAGTGGAAATATCTCACTCAGATGAAGCAATAAGTCAGAAAATAGGCCGCGAGTATGCAGCATATTACTAGCTGACACACAGAAACAAAACAGGGTCAGAAAAATCACTTTCTAAAAATTACTGAGCACAAGTTGGTTGGGATAGGAATATTGAGGATGTATGACTTATTTGGGACAACAGTACACCAGTCGTGCAGTATGTCACCAACGGCTGAGCTGTGATTGGCCACGAGATATTGATTGACTTACTGTGATGTGATTGGCTTGGGGTCGCCGAATCCAGCCAAGTCGTGGTTGGTCAGTGTAGAGGCTACGGGGTTGGAGGCCGGCCGGGTATCACACAGTCTATTGATTTCGTTCATGCATCACTGATTAATGGCGAAACGTTCGGTGGCAGAAAGTGCTTTTGCTCAACAACTCAACTCTGCAACAATGAAGGGATGCTTCAAAATAAACACCCTATTCCAAACTCTACCAAAAGAATTTTGAATGTGTTGTTACTTTGGAGGAAATCGATACCTACGTAATTTGTACCACGAGAGAGGACACTCAGAACATCAGCTAGGTTCAGGAATTCATGAAGCTCCCTATATAATTTTACTATAGGTGCCCGAGGTAAGCGACCTGCTGCAGATCTTTGGATAGGATTTATCTAAATATATATTATAGTGTTCTCAATATAATACCAATGGAATATGGACATAAGTTACCGCAACGCACTACCCAGAAAGCTCTTGTTAGTTTGCTTCACAAGTACTTCTATGTGGAATCATTTGACGGAATAATACATCGGTGATTGGAACCGCATCTGTGGAAAAGACCGATTGAGCGGTGAAAAATAGTTCTGGCATATAGATGTGAAAGACCCGGTGAATAAGAAATCTAGTGGAGAAATTACTGGCTATTTCTCCCAGTAAAATAACGAAATGTCCCCAAACCAACCACATTCTCTTGATTTTCTTCGTTTTCTAGGCGGATATCCGAGGAGCATCACATCAAGGCGGAATCCGAAGACGATTTGACTGAACAGATTAAACAGTACTTGACAAACCCTGAACAGAGTGAAGAACGTACGTGTAAAACGGAAAATTCGGGGATCGCCATCGTGATCGAACTTCTGGAGATGAGCGCTGACCACTTTCAAAATTTTCTCTGCTGTGTTGGTTGGAAGTCACCGAGCTCAACTGAAAACACAAGTAACAACAGGTAAGTTAACTTATTTTGCAGAATTTGGTAAAAATTTATTCAAACATACTTTATGGCGAAACCTAGGTATCAAATGATTCCCCAACATTGGCAGAGGTACGACCTCGGACGCTTTGTACACGGACCACTACAGATTGTTGGTAGAACGATATAATTCCTTCTGTCGCTATGATGCCCCATAGACCTGCTTTTCAAGTAGTGTGCGAAAAAGCAAGTCCGAAATCCCACGCAAATGACAAGGAATCTCTTAGGATCAGAACTCAAACCAGAGGTTTATGCGCTTGGTAAGAATACACCAAGAACGTACAATTTTGTCAACTGAGGGAGAGATGCCCGAGTTTCAAATACAGCAGGATAACCAGCAACATCATCATACAGCATAAAAATTCCTGAGGGGCGCTCCCCAAGAGGAAAGAATTTTCTGCTGGAGAGTATACAACAACAGTCTCCACTGACCCCAAACTAGTGTCCGATCTCTTTCCGCACGACTTGTAGAAACAACTTACAGGAGAGTGAGAATACTCACTTCCTTCAGAGTTGTCACCTTTTAGGGAATATTATACTAGTTGACTATCAGTAACTCGCCCAACAGACACCAAATTCTGTGTGCCGACTGCACTACTATACTGTTCTAATGCAACTTCTCTGAAGTGAGGCAACATAGTGTGGGTATCATTGCGGAGAGCTGGGCACTCCCTCCAGTGAAATCTCACTTCCAGTGCACCCATTTAAGAACGTTGAAACGGACAGGAAAACTGGAAATGTTACTTTTAGAGAATTAAGGAATTTCGATGACTGTGCTTCTGTTTTCGAAGGCAAGATCATGAGTATCGCATGGATGCCTTACCGGTATTGAGCTTCGCAGAACTGTGTCCAAGAGTCTGACAGAACATACGACGCCTTAAATCACGCATTACGGTACTTCACGGATTTATCCATACGGTCAATAGTTGCATCAAAGTCGATGCAACAGCGAAATTCGCCATCTTTTCCGTGAAAAAAATGAAGATGATACTACCACTCCCGGTGAATTATGCTGAACGGGATGCTACCGCTAAAGTAAAGCACCTTCCTTTACCTGAATACCTTCCGAAGAAAACATTTTGTTTAAAGGCTATTGCGCCAAGTAGACCATTCTGCTGTGATGCAAGAACCACATACAATCGTCTATCCATCATTCCTGGTGTCAGCACACATGCCCTCTCGCCTATCAGGAGCGCCATCGAGTACGGAACAGTTCTGTTGGTTCGACTGAGTCATCACAAGAGAGTGTAATGTTCCTTGTAAGAACCTGCTCGTGTTTTACTCTTAACCTCTAATCCACATACGGACACGTTCGCTTTTACAGATGTGACGATCCGGTATGTACTGGTTGGGTAGTGACGATACAAACAAAGCCAAGGATATGAAATGCCGGATATCGGCATGGACCAAAATGTTGAACACATTCATTGCTCTAGTTGGTAGGTGGATTCATGGTAAATGTTTACCAAAGTCGATGGATAAATACGGAATTAGTCCGCTTCTGTTGAACCTTTGGTACGAAGCAGACGCGATAAACTATAGACCAAATTAGGTTTGTGCGAGAGTCCCAAAAACACTGACCTCGGTTAGGCGTTCTTAGATGGCAGTGTGACACCTGAAGAGGCCGACTTGTTGCATTTTTCATTTCATGGCTTCACCTTGATTGAGCGCTTATTTTGAGTAATTCGACAAATCAGTCGCACGGCAGAACTGAGGCAGAGTCCCCCGTGTATGATGCGTGAGGCTCTTGTTATGTCCTGAACGGTCGTACCACCCGAACAGCAGTCCAGCGTTCACTGCTCTCTCGCGAGCGAGCGCATATTCCGTTTCATCCGATACCGATTGATCTGATTACCCAGAACATACATTAGGTCTCAAGAGCGTGTGATTTGTTGCAAACGGGCAGTGACTCAGTCTAAGAAAGTGCTCATTGTCCTTCATTCGTCAGTTATTGTCTGTCCTTCAAACGCATTCACCTTGTCTCCAATTCTCCCACTACTAGAACATACATCATCGCGATCTCGACGCCGAAGCCCCCTCCACCAAACAGCATTGCTGTTGAACTATCCAGCGCCATCCCCAATGCAAAACCGTACCTATCATCCCTTGGATTCTGTTGGGTTTGCACTGAGCAGCAAAGCTACGAAGATATGAAATATACCCTCCGTCAGTCACTCAGACAACGAATTATCCACGTTGTGGTCGAACACTGCGTCCTGGAACAAGCCGGACTGGGACTGGAGCGCAAAAAGTTGATGCGACGGTTGCTAGGATGGCTGGAAGAAGTGAGTCGTTTATGAGGGCATAATTTATCTAGAAATTTTATGTGGCTTCTATGGGACCACTTTGTTTTCGCCCGAATGCCGAACAATTACTCCAATGGCCGGAAGATGTAGATCATTCACCTAGAACGAATACTCTTCAACAAAGTGGCCACTCGGCAAGGTGTTGAAAAGTGGGTTCGCGGTTTCCTTTTACTCAGAATCAGAGTAAGTGAATAAGGTGGGATTGTAGGTTGGATAAAATGTGCTTTGAGTTAAAACTGACAGCTGCTGACTGGGGGCATTGTGTAAAGGTTCTGTGACAGGCAATAAAGACATTCAAGATTATATTGGTAGTTAGCTGATTGCCTTGCTAGGTTCATCAACGAAACGTATTTTTCCTTTCCTGCTCTAACGCATACAGCCTCTTCTGGAGATGCAGCCACGACCAGAGTCACATTTGGTCGTTACTTCCAGGTCATTTCAGGGAAGAGAATGGCATGTACCTCAGATCGACTCCCCAATTGAGACACTTTTACGGGAGGAGCACTGATCGAACCCATGAGCAAAGTCATGTGGGAGAATCCTACCGTAGTCGAAATGAATTCCTCTTTCTCTCTCTCTACGTCAACATGTCTTGAGGATTAAAATATTTAAACGATCGCGNCGATCGCGTTTTTTTACGTAGGTCAGGATTTTGCAAGTTTGAAGTTTAACCCTCAAGTGCCCCTGTAACACTTGTTTTGAGCGACGCTAGAATTCGTGATCTATGTACGCTCATACAATATAGGTAGCGTCCAGAGACTCCTAACCGAAACTACGACTGAAATATCACACGTCTAGTCAAGTGCTGCCACCCACATCAAATTTGCGCAATCAGCAAAATTCAGTTTATTGTACCTACTTTTACAATATATTCCCCCCATAGGTCTGGGATCGTGTGAATAAGTTACTCATGAAATCACATCCGAGCGACTCCAGAAGCAATTTCTTGTCTCCTCAAGTCTTCCGTGATCTGCCACTTGCCAACACCGAGGACTGGTTCGTAGAATTTTGGAACCAGAGAGTGATTCAGAAGATGCAGCAACTGCGAAGCTCGTTGCAACACAACTCGTCTGACGAAGATCCGATTCCATGGGTTACTTCAACTTGGCCTTGGATATCAACCCCACACGCAGAGGAAATCAAGTCCAGATTATTATTACCATTGCCCTTCCCATGCCAGTCCGATTGATCCAGTCCCACTTTTACTCAAGCAATGCGTGCTACTTACAAATATACCAGTAGCACGAATGTAAAAATGTATACTACACAACAAAAGGCCTTCACTGTACAGTATGAATATGCGATGAGATTCAATAAAGTTACCCTACCTCTGTGAAGAAACGTCATTCACTTTTCAACACTTGGATGCAACTGACCAGCATACAGCTTTGAGCAGTCCCTGCTGTGACAGACAACAATGCAGTCTATTCTTCCAAGCCAGCTCGCTGGTTGGAGAACAGTCATTGTGAGAGAGGTTAAAAAGGTAAACTGAGATTAGCCTATTCACCGCATGGAAACTGACGAATAAAAACACTACAACCAATCCTCCGGGCTGATAGTCCGGAATAATTTTTGCGACAAAATGAATGGTCTCCCTAACAAGCCACCGCTATGATAGCTCAATGTCGTGAAAAGTCATTTCCCACAGAACTACCAGGCAGTACATTTTTCAGTCTATTCCTGAACCACAGGCAACCCGCAGCTTCTTACACCCAATTGCACAATCATACATCTATGCGCCGAAGTTTTCATAGCGTCCGAGATGAGACGCTGACGGGATAGGCCGACTTGGCAACACATAAACCTACGCTTCCGAGGCTGTATAGGACTATTCGTTTCACCAGACACATCCACATCATCGCTAGCTTCAAAAAGTTTGCGGGTATTATGTTGGTTGGCTGTCTTTATGATCTTCAATGATACTGTATCAGTCAGGCTCCGTCTAGCGCGATCCCTTTCTAGAGTGACTCACATAAGGATAGACTGCTCTCCGCCGGTGGCGTCCTCAATAATATCCGAAAATAAGTGTGTCCAAACAGTGTCACTTTTGATAAGGAAGAAGGTAATTGGTCAGCGGAAGATTGGGTCCTTATCCAAGTACCAAACAAACACCTGATGCATCCTTTTATCACCGAAGAGGGATCTTGAAGTTCAAAGCGGAGTAGAACATTCCGGTAGTGAGTCCACGAGCCAAGAAAACTGTGGCAGAGTAACACTGACTAATTCATCTTCACAACTCTACATGGTTCAAGTCAATCGTGTCTGGAATTTGTCATTTTCCTCTCCTTCGCATA